CTCTCAAACAAATGTTTACCTCAGTGTTTACGGCTGCACTGACCACATGATTCTGCTCCCACTCAAACCATTTGATCCCCCCTTTGTTTACAGCTCTGCTAATTGGATAACTTATGCTCTTTTTATGTTTGGACTCTTGGAAAGCCCAGCTGTCATGCTCTACTTCATCAACATAGAAACAAATTTCCATGAGGCCATGGCATGGCCCACCAGCTCAGGGACCAAACATGGACAGCGGATGTAAGAAAGATTATGTAACAGTAAAAGTGTGATTAGTGGGACTGTCTGTTAGGCTAAAACCTACTTTGAGTGTCATTGCTAACTGTGTGGAAAAGTATGGAATTCCAGGCTTGACTAAATGTGGAAAAAATGGGTATGGAAATATATTTGTATAAATGAACTTTGAATGTTTTAATATTTAATTTGAGAAGTTAAACTCAGTACATGGTGTAAATGTGAAACATTTATAGGGATCAAATCTCAAAAATGTTATGGAAGCTCAGAATTGGTGAAAACTGAGGTCCTGTTTTCTCTGAGTCTCCCAGGTTTCAGCTTTCTTCTTGGCAGAGTGTGTTTCTAGGGAGGAATCGTCACAAGGTGCTAATCAACCAATCAGATTGGAGACATTGTACAAACTGTCAACCACAAGTTCTTATTGCTTTGAAAGTTTCTTCATTTCTGTGTTAGTTAAATATAATTACAAGTTTAAGAAAACATTTAAAATGGATAGCTGTTCTCAATATTGTTGGTTACCGTCTTAAGTTTTAACCATGTAAAGTACTTTGAACTGTCTTCTTGCTGAAATGAGCTATAAAAATAAACTTGCCTTGACATTGACAGTCATTTAGAAAAATATTTCCTGGGCGTAGCAACAGTCAAGGTCATATAAATATTGATACTTTGGATATTCCAGAACAGCACTTGCAGAATTAGAAGTTTTGACTTCATCCACAAGGACAATAGATTTGGACTAAAGTGGCTGAAAGGTCAAATCTGGTATTTTTCTGTTTTGTGCAGTAAAAATTGTGTAAATGGAGTGTTCTCAGTCCTTTTTCACCTCCGTTTACTACCAGTATAGCTCAGGTTTTATGATGGGTTTGCATAATCTTAGCATCACTTTAACAGTGCTAAGATGATGTAAAAAAATGTGTTGACTCATGTTATTAATTAGGTTTAAATCTTCAGTGCAAGATGACACCAGACTAGATGAATGTTATAACCAAACTTGTGAGTTAACAACTGAGGAATAAAAAGGAGGTAGGGCAAAAGGAAACATGACTCAGTTATCTGAGCATGAGTAATGATACTATTGCCTAACAGTTGGAGAAAAGTAAATTACAGTGCACTTAACGTTATTTTGCTACATTTAGTCTAGGTGCAAATCGTATGTCTCCAGTAGTTTGAATGACTCAGCCAACGCATACAGTACAAGGAGACAGCTTTCTTGAACACTTTTAAAATGCTCATTGTAAATCTTTTTTCTGGCTTTCTGAAAATCTTTCAAAGTTAAATGCTTTTTCAGTGATTATTATTCCAGTACATGAACATTTATTGGATAATGTTTCTATATTTCCATGTTGCACTTTGTTAATAGCAGGCAAGAACTGAATTTGTTTCCTTTTTTTTTGTTTAATCTATTAAAAAACTGAAAAGAATAAATTTTTAAGTCAAAACATTACATTTTTCCACTTGTTTAAGAAGTGATTCAGCTTCTGTTCATTCACTGTAGCACTTTTACATTTGACACTCCTTTTTTTTCAGCTTTCCTGCAGAAAATCTTGTTGTGTTTAGGTAAATGGATTGTATTAAACACAAATTAAAAGCAGTCGTAGTCCAAAGTACTAAAGCCTGGAAAACTATTAGTCAGAATTACAAGAATTGATGTTTTCTTGTTGACAAAATGCAATAAATTTCTTTAAAACTTTTCCATGAATAGAAGGTTACTGTCACATACTGTTATGTGTATTACTTGAATCACTTGTCAGCATGATTAAGACCATGCTGCAATGCAGCAACAAGTCCTGACAGCGACTCAGATGACTCAGATTTGAGGGGGGTTGCACTGTAATGTTGCTGTATGTAATTGTACATCTTGGTAACCAGGTGGGACAATTGAATGTCAGAAAATAGTTAGCAACCTGCAGCAAACATTGCCTGCAACTCTTCTGTGGTTAATTGGGATCTTTTGTTCTCTAGCAGTACCTTAAAGACTGTGGGGCCATAAGGCACTGAGGAATTTGTCCAAACTGGTCCAGACAGGAAATGAATACCTTCAAGGTATATGTCACAAAGGACACGGTTAATAAATAACTTTAACTGAAACTGTGGAAACATTTCAAGCCTTCACAGAAGGCAGTTACAGGAACTTAAAAGGATACACCATCCCTTTAAGTAAAACTCTTGAAAAAAATATTTACGGGCCTGGTTGGGACTTGCAAGGTTTCTGTAGTGACCAATCTTAACGTCCCTACCTTCCAATTACATTACAAGGATAGAGACACACCTATAAGCTCATCGGGTATTTGAAACCACAAAATATTCTCATTACTTACTGACTATTTTAAGGCAGACTTAAGTAGTAAATCATCTGTGCAGAATAAGTACTATGTCACTGCTAAGAGTGATTTTGTGGTTCTGATTAAATATTTGCGCACCAAATTCAAGCTTTTTAATTTATGATCTTTCTAGAGTTTTATAGTTTCTTTGGAATAAAAGAGACCAATCTTTCTAATCTCAATGAGTTACTTTGCTGGACTTCAATATAAAGTCCAGCAAAGCCAAAATCAAAATGAATAAAAGATGAAAATACTTTTTTATAGAGATGTTACTCTATCTGATATGTTAGAAAAACTGGGTTGATGAACTTGTGCATGTTGTGTCTTTAAAAATAAATTCAATTTCTGAAAGATATTGCGTATTAGATTAATTTGTTCTTCTATGATTGTTTCTCCAGCTGAACATTAAGTTCTTACACTCCCTGGTTACGAAACTAACTCAGGTTGGTAGACAATGTTTTATGATCTGTTACAACAAAACAGAAATAGAAAAACACAATAACAGGGAACTGCCTCAGGAACCAGTATGCCAAACTCCAAACCCTCTCCTCAGCTTACTTCTTGTTTACAAAGTAATCACTAATATATATATGGCTTTGTGGACAATTACATCTCAGTGTAGCAAGTTAATGAAGTGTGCTGCTATCCACTCAAAGCATTAAAGTGGGGTTTTGAGTCTTTAAAGTATCTTACTCTGTCCTGCATTAGTCTCGTTTGCAAAATAGTACAACTTCATCTGGTGTTTCATTTAACCTTTTTCAAAACTTGAGCCAAATCAAACGTTTTCCGATTTTATTTTGAACATTAACACAGCTTTAACACATAAGTGATTAAATATATCTTTAGTGTTATACTCATGAATAAATACACTATTTAAAGTTTTGTTAATATACAAAGTAACTGCACTGGTCTAAAAAAAAAGCCCATGCTTCATACTGATGTCCAGTTTATTTATTCAACTGAACGAAACTAAAAAAAAAAATACAACATTAAGTATTTAAGCATAAGCTACCGGACAGCATACAGTACTGAGTTATTTTTTGTTTCTGTCACTGTATTATAGTGTACAATTTTTAACAATGTGTTTGCCAGTTTTAAAATAAAAACAGTAGCAGAAATAAGAGAGAGCCTCACGCATCTGTCTGTTTGGCTTATTCCACTTTCCGCTTCCGGTTCACTTTTATGTGTTGCAAACAAATCATTTTCTCTCTCAGTAAACCCACATAAATTCTAACAACATGTTACAAACATCTCATCTGACGTGCCTCGATTTTGCTGAAAGAAGGAGATATGTACTGACTACAGCAACCAGGGCCAACCTCTGGGTTACCATGGCAACGTGAAACAAACGGCAGGTAAGCGTCTGTTACATGCATCTTGAGTGATGAGTGAAAAATTTACTTTTTTGTCTTCATTCGCAAGGTATATAAATACAGTGTAAAACTTCAAAACATATAAAGACCAAATCAGTAATAATGTGTTCATTTCTACATTTCCTTGTGCTTTTAGCCCTTTTTTCTCTAACTAGCCCTCTTTTCTGTCGTTGTTTGTGTAAAATTAAGATATACAGTAACGCATTATCTGTCGGCAAGGTTTTAAAACCCCCTTGCAGGTTATTATCAGTGCGCTTGGCGCCACCTGGTGGAGAACATGACGAATCTGTGGCTATTATAGAAAAGTATTTCATAAAGTAACTCAACATATTGGTTCGAGATAATTGAAAGGTATCTATAACCTCTTCACTTGGCTTTTTTCCAACCAAGGTGCATGAAATATCGTCTCTTCGAATGATCACTCTCTCTAAAATAAGCAATGCCTATCTCCAGCTAACGTTCCGGATGAGAGGCGGGATACACCCTGGGACAGGTCGCTAGTCTGTCGCAGTGCAACACAGAGACACACAGGACAAACAACCATGCACACACACACTCACACCTAGGGGCAATTTTGGAGAGGTCAATTAACCTGACAGTCATGGTTTTGGACTGTGGGAGGAAACCGGAGCACCCGGAGAAAACCCACGCATGCACAGGGAGAACATCCAAACTCCATGCAGAAAGACCCAGAACCTACCTTCTTGCTGCAAGGCAACAGCTCTACCAACTGCGCCACTGTGCAGCCCAGACACATACAGTCTGTGTTAAAGAAAGATCATTATTTTCTATTTGTTGAGCCTACTGAAACATTTTGAGGTCAACTACTGTGTCACTGGAATTACTCTGTTCTAACTACTGATTATTGAAAATAGTTGTCCGATTTGTTTCAGGTTAGAAAATTTGATTCTACTTGAGTACAAGTTTGGGGATTCTACCCATTTTTGTGTTTCACATAAAATAGCAAGATATTTTGCTTGATGTTTTCGAAATAAACTAGTGATTCTGGGTCATTCCACTAGGTGGCAGTAAGTATTTTTACCCTCTCGTAAAGTCTCAAAGAACAAGGCAACCCATCGCGCTTGCGCGTTTAGCTGTTTAGGCGAAAATGGCGGCACTGCTATTGCAGGAGCTGGATTCGTCCGAGCTATCTAAACTACCGACAACTCTTCAAAGCAAACTTGAGAAACTTTTATTAGACCGGCAGTATGAAATTGATTCTTTAAAAGCACTGCATGAACAGTTTCGGGTTGACAGCGGTGAGTTATTGGTGCTTTTTTTGGCTAACTGTTGGTGCTAAACGTGCTGAGTACAGAGGGATGAGTGTTAATGGCGAAAAGTTTGTTTAATTTAAATAGTCATTGTTTTACTTCCGATTTATTTGCCTCTAATAAAGCTAGTGGGTTATTTCAATAAACTTACTCTTTTTAAGCTGCTTAACGATTTGTAAAACCCCCGTTGAAAGCTAACTAAAGCTAACACAAGGAATTCCTTGAAGCTAACTGTTAGATTTGAGCTAGATAAGACAAAATGCTTCTCAGTAAGTAGATTTATGCTTATAGTGTTGGTTACGTTTCCTGTACAGAGCAACAGTTTTTCGAAAAAGTTGATCAACTTCAGCGGTGTCAGGCTGAGCTTTTGTCTCAAGCTCAAGAACATCTTAAAGTCAAAGAGGATTTCACGAAGCTTGGTAAAACACCCTTCGCTTTACTTCAGTTTTCCTATCTGATTTTCGCTTTTTTCAAGTCTTATAGATCAACTTACTGTTAAACCTTTAATGCAGATGAAGAACTGAAAAGTGTTTGTGAGAAGAACAAGGAAAATGAGTCTGCGCAGGAGAAGTTGTCAGCAGAGCAGGTAAGACGACACCAACAACAAAGATAACTACAGTCATGATTAAATAGACTGTAGTCTTTAAACATTTTTGAAGTATCCCTTGAAATCCAAAACACACATAAGTAGATTGATCACTGTCATTATTTGCTAAACAGTCAAATTTACATCTTTAAGCGAAATGGAAAAGTCATGTTTGAATAAGCACACCTTATAAATTAATTTATTATGGTGTGTTATCATATTATTTAAGACTTTTGGCCCACCTACCATTCCAAAACATGGCCCAAACTCCGCTAACCATCGTCTTTCCAACAGATTGCCTCCTGTTTGACTTTAATAGGCTTTTGTTTTCAAATGCATGACTGCAGGGCAATTGTATTTTTATAGCGCAACAACGCAATTTAAAGTGCTTTTACATGATTAACATGAAAATAAAACAAGCAAGCACCTTGCATTGCAGTGGCAAAGTAAGGTAAGGGAAAGCGCTGACAGGTTTATGATGTTCCAGTTATTAATCAGCAGATTTTCTGAAGGTTTGTTCAAGATTAGAGGAGCATAAAAACTGAATGCTGCTTCTCAATGTTTGGTTCTGATTCTGGGGATGCAGAAAAAAAAAACTAGAACCAGAAGGCCTGAGTGAACTGGAAGGTTCATCCAACAATAGATCTTTATTGTATTGTGGTGCTGAGCCTTTCAGTGATTTATAAGGTAACAACCATATTTTAAAGTCTATTCTCTGAGCTACAGGGAGTCTGTGTAAGGTCTTGTGACTACTAGACATATACGCATCATCACATCTCCATTACCAGGCTCAATGACAGTTTGTGTTGCTATGGCAGCACAAACTGTCATATATGGTGCTGTGGATGATAGCCAAACATTTCTACTTTGGTATCGTCTGCTCAAGAAACTTATTGAAGTCTTCTTCATCCAGATGGAACTTTGCAGACCCAGTTTCTGCAGCCATATTATTTTATCAGGAACTTTAGCATTTAAAATAAATGCTAAATGAGATGTGTAGTCTCTGAGATTGAACTCTTAGCTTAGTTGTTTTCCCAAATTAAACACATTGCTTGGAGATAATTTGCTTAAAATGTATAAAAACTGACACTTTTGCCTATTAGCCTTTTTTTTTTAAAACAAAAGTGCCTTAAAGAGAAACATTTATTAAACTATGTTTACAATGTGTACAATGGTCGACAACATTTTTTAATTCTAATTCCTTTTAAATGAAAGAATTAGAATTTCTCATACACAAACAATTAAAATAGTTGAAGCAAACTTTGTGGCATGCTTACTTTGATGTTAGACTCAGTCTTGATTTAATAAAATCAACCACACGACTAGGATTCAATTTAACGTGTTCCCATTGAATGTGTGTACAGATCAAACAGCTGCAGATTTGTTACCACACTTTCAGATGGAATAAATACATTTTCCCTGGGCTCTAGCGCCATCACATTAAACACCTCCATTATTTCTCTTCAGACTTTGCTTTCGAAAGCCAAAGAGGAATTGGAAGGAGAAAAGCGGGAACTTGTGAGGACACTGGAGAAGAGGTCTCTGGAAGTTGAGAATTTAAATGGTAGGAATAAAATAATCTAACGGCATTATTTATAAATTTTTTATATTCTTTATTGGCATGTAAAACGTTTATTGGACTTATCAAGTTTTTTTGCTTTATCAGATGACTTGAGGCAGCTGAATGATAAGTTAACGGAAGTCAACACTAGTAAGTTGACTCTGCAGATGAAGCTGGATGAGCTTGAAGCTGCAGAAGTAAACATTAAAGTGAGTTCTGAAGGGATCTTTGTCTTCATTGAATATTACCTTTAAAAGCAAGCCTTTGATCAGCGCTGTCTGTCTCTCCAGTACAAGGAGAAGCGAATGGAACAAGAGAAGGAGCTGCTGCATGGCCAGGTGTCTTGGCTTAAAGACGAACTGAAGGCAAAGACGGAGGGACTGCTCGCCCTGTCCAGGGAAAAGGGGAATGAAATCTTGGAGCTGAAATGCAAACTGGAGAACAAGGAAGATGAGGTGAGGATCTTTTTATTTCATTTTATGTCATTCTGCTGTGATTCAGTTTGTGTTGTGATTTTAATTTCTAATCTTTTATCCAGTTTAACAATGTTATTTTTGATTTGCAGTTAACCAAACTACAGGATCAAGTGACCAGTTTGAAAACCTCAAATGAACACCTTCAAAAGCAAAGTGAAGAGATGATCAACAAACTAAAAGAAGTGTGTATTTAAAAATTGCCTAAATTAAAGTTCCCAGTTTTAGTTTATTGGCATATTTTGAAAGAAATGCATGGAATGCATTACTTTTTTGTTTTTTTTGTGTGTGTGTGTGCTCTTTGGATGGTTGTTAATTCCTTTTTTTTCCAGGCAAAGGAGCAGCAGGCCATCACAGAGGAGAAGTTTCGAAACGAGCTGAATGCCAACATTAAACTTTCCAACTTATACAAGGTGTGGAGAAGCCTAAGAGTAAACTTTGTGCTCAGTTGCAATGTTTTTTAGAATAACATTTGACTCTTTTCTGACAGGGTGCAGCAGCAGATTCTGAAGCAAAAAGTGAAGAACTGAGTCGGGCGGTGGAGGAACTACACAAACTGTTGAAAGATGCTGGAGAAGGTAAAAGCTGAGAGTTTCAGTCCAAACTTTGCTGAATTACGAAATTGGATACACAACTTTGATTTCTTTTTTTATTGTGGATTTTTGTTCATCCATACTTTTGTTCATATTTCTGGTTCAGCTTTTAGCTGAATATTTTATTACTCTTTTTTAAAGAGTCTTTAGTTAATTTAGATGGACTGTTTTTTTGTTTTGTTTGCTTTTTTGTCAAACAGAACCAGCTTTTAAGCACAGTCAATAAATAATCAGAATTGCTACAATTGTGGACTTTTGGAGACCAGATTCTTCATGTTATTTTAGTCTGCTTTATTAATCCTAAGACCAAGCTTGATCTCAGTTTAATATCATTATTTTCTTTCATTACTTAAGATGTGAACCTTTGAGTCTAAATTTGTTCAGAACCGTCTCCAAAGTAATATCCCAGATCTAAACTCCCCGTTTAAATTAAAAGAAAAGTTTAAATTAATAATTTAGAATTCAAAATTAATGATTAGCATTCCCTTAATAAATGCATGTAAACTTGTGGCTGCCAGTATCAAATATAAAAAAGAAATGTTGCCCACTTCAGCCAACAAAGTTCTTGAGGAAAAGCTGCAGGAGATGAACGGCGCAGCGGACAAAACTGTTAACGAGTTAAAGGAGAAGATCCAGAGCCTTGAGAAAGAGCTGGACAACGCCAATGACCTGTTGTCAACTTCTAAACTCAGAGGTCAGTTGTGCTACACTTACTTCATGTTCAGATTTTAAAATGCATTTCAGTAGCATCTCTCTTTAAAAACTTTTTTTCTGATCAGGACCTGCTGGTGCGAGCGTGGTGGCAGAGGACCAAATAACAACAATGTCTCCAACAGCGGCTGCTGTGTCCAAAATAAAACCCGGCATGAAGCTGACTGAAGTAAGCAAATCAGCTTCCTGGTTGCAGCCGTCATTCAGACCATTTCCACAAAGTCTTAGAACATAAAATTTGCTCCAGCATTTTCCCATGCCTTATTACACATGGGAACAAAGAAAAATAAGAATGGAAAACATTTACATTTATAAACGCTTCACCGTGTTCTATTTTACAGAACATAAAATTCAGACTTCTAATTCTAATGTAGACTAGAACTGTTTATCATTTTCAATATAGTGCTAAATTTTTTATGTTCAAAATGTTGCCAAGCAGTTTCTTTGTCGACATGCTTGACTAAGCGAGTCGTGTGTTTGCAGTTGTACACGGCGTATCTGGAGAGCCAGGAGCAGCTGCAGCTGGAGCGGCTGGAGAACAAGCGCGTCAACAAATATCTGGATGACATTGTGCAGGAAGTCGAAGCCAAGGCCCCCATCCTGAAACGGCAGAGGGACGAACACGAGCGCATGCAGAAGTCGGTGGCCAGTCTGTCAGCCAAGCTGGAGCAAGCCATTAAGGTACGTGACATTAACGAGGTGCAGGTCTGTATGGGTTTATATTTTCCTTAACACTGGACTGAAAAATATTAAATTGATACTTTTATGTAAATGACATGTTCAGTTTGTCACATTAGAACTACAAACTTTAGTGTACTATGGAGAGATTTTATGTGGTAAACCAACAAAAAGTAATGCATTACTATGGATGAAAAGGACCAAGGTCCAAACCCCATTTTATATCCGATTATCGGAATAATAGATTATTAATATAAACAATAGTAGAAGCATTCATCATTTTATTTCTTCTACACAATCAGTCACTGCTTTGTGTTGGTGCATCACATAAAATCCCAGTGAAATTATTTGAGGTTTGTTGCTGTAATGCGAAAAGGTTCAAGCATCGGTCTTGCTTCTGCCGGGTCCTGAAAGTTTTGTGCTTTATTTTACAGGAAGTTCACCGTCTGCAGAACGAGGCTGACGAAGCCAATAAGCAATCCACTCTCCTGGAAAGAGACAACCAGAGATATGAACTCCAGGTGGCTGACATGGCTCAACAGGTGGGTTCAAGCTTCTCTTCCACCTTTATGCATTTTTATGTCCGAGGAGATTAAATTGATCTAAAATCCTTTATTCATTCTGCCAGGTTCGAGTGCTGCTCATTGAGCTGGAAGAGGCCCGTGGAAACCACGTGCTTCAGGAGGAGGAAGTGAGCTCAGCCGACATCAGCAGCACATCAGAGGTCATCAGCCAACACCTGGTGACCTTCCGCAGCGTGGAGGAGCTCCAGAAGCAAAACCAGCGACTCCTCGTGGCCCTCAGGGATCTGAGTGACGCACAGGAGAAAGAAGAGCAGGAGAGCACTGGCAATAAGTGCGTCTGTTACATCTTTAATATCTTCACAGATAGAGGGATAAAATCCCTAAAAATCTGATTCTAAATCTGATGATGTACTCTTCTAGGCGTGTGGAGCTGGAGCAGAGTTTGGAGAAAGCCCAGGCAGAGTTGGAGTCGCTGAAGGAACAGCGCAGCCAGCAGATTAAGATGACGGAGTCCATCGTGAGGCAGAGGGACATGTACCGTGTGCTGCTGGCTCAGGCAACGGGAGTGGCTTTCCCTCAACAAGGTGAGGCAGAGATCACTCTGAGAATCCGCCTTTGCATCTATTTGAATGAAGGTCCTATGTTTGCAACTTCCAATTAAAATCTAATTTGATTTCCAGCATTTCAGTCTACTTTTTTTGTCCAATAAACCTTTTACTGATATGGCTTCACTCATGTTATTGACATGTTTAGGAACACCACCGGAGGAGTTTTCTCTGACATCAACCCCCCGACGTTCACCAACAACCACTCCCACCACTGGAGCTCCCACTGCACTCGTGACCATGGCCGAGTCTGTCGAGGTGCTGGAGGCCAAGGCAGCGCTGCGGCAGGTGACCAACAACTTATGCACAACTTGCAAGTGTTTGCATTTGAATTTTATGCATTTTAAACTTGCAGGTAAAACTCAAGCAGCTAAATCTTTCATTCCTGAATATACAGAATCCTATAAAAACATACAAGAAGAAAACATAACTAAAGTTTAAAACTGGAAAAGATTTTATTTTGGTCATGTGTGGAAAAACAATCAATAGAAATCCAGTATTTTGACCTGTATTTTTGTAAATGATCATTAGCTTTAGGGTGGCCACCAGATAGCGTTGTTCACTCTACAGAGAAGAGGTCTTTGCAAACCATTTCTTATGTTTGCAAGGAATCAAAGTGTTGTAAAAAATATCCTAAGTGTTTCTTTACCAAGTTGCAGAGGAAAAAATAATTATCACTGCTAAAACATATATTTTAGAATACTTTTGTAAAGAACACCACAGAACTGCTGCAAACAGGTTTTCTTTAAAAACTCACATCTTTTGGCATGGAAAAACTTGACGTGGTATGAATTAAGTCTTACTGTATTGTAGTTACTTTATCCCCCCTCAAACAGAAGATAAATATATATGAAAGTAAATACATTTGTCTGATTTTATGTTCAGTTGCAGGAAGTGTTCTCTGCCTACAAGAAGGAGCGTCTGGAAAGCGATAAGGCGATGAACGAGCAGAATGAAAAGCTGCAGGAGCAGCTCTCTGACCTCCGCTCTCAAAATGCCAAAACATCAACTCAGCTAGAGTTTGCATCAAAGAGGTAAAGTTCAATGAACCAGATCTAGTTCTTCTAAACTTCTTAGAAAATAAATTAGATTGTGCGGAAATGTTACTCCCCTGACTTCTGCCTCTGCAGGTATGAGATGCTGCAGGATAACGTTGAGGGCTACAGGAAAGAAATCGCCTCACTTAGAGAGAAAGAACAGAAAACGGCCGCCGCCACACAGAAACTTGAGCAGAGTGTCCACACGCTAAATGAAGATCTGAAAGCTGCAAAGGAGAAACTTACCTTGACTGAGGTTTGCTAGCTTGTTTCCTAGTGTGCACTGGAAAGAGCCTAAGAAGGGTTTAGTGGTTAAATGAAAAATCTGCAGAATGTGTTGATGTTTTTTTTCTCCAGATAATCAACTGTCAGAATAATCGATTACTAAAATAATCATTACAGCCGTGGTTTCTATTCACTAATTAGTTGACTTCTAAATCTATTGAGCACACTGTATTTTATTTAGCAATATCAGAGTAAGGAGAGGTGAATATCTGTGCATTTCTCAGTTTTTAGTCTTTTATTTGAAGCATGTTGAAAATATCTTGCCATTCTCTTCACACGTCACAATTATCCACTCCTGAAGACTTTTGAGGGGCTCTTTTTCTTAGGTGAATCGAGCTACCTCATAATTTATCTCATCTCATCACTCAGGGTCAGGCTGAGAAGCTGCGCAAGGAGAGAGACATGCTGAAGCTGGTGGAGTCCAGGCTGAACCAGGAGAAAGAGACGTTTGTGAGCCAACAGCAGAACCAGAACCTGCTGCTGACCAATCTCCAGACCATACAGGTAACTGAAGACTTAACTTTACCTACTGTAGTAAGGATCAGGTAGCAGAAGCTGGAAATGTCTGTCGTTCTGTACTTCAGGCCACTCTGGAGCGTTCTGAGGCCGACGCACGTCAGCGTCTCAACGGCCAGATCGAAAAGCAGGAACTGCAAATCTCCCAGCTTCAGAAGAAGCTGGAGCAGGAAGTGGAACAGCGCCATCTGTGCAGCAGGAACCAAGAAGTAAACACCATGTCGAAGATATTTTCTGAAATTAATTGATGTGATATGTACATATACAAAAAAACATTATTTTTTAATCTGCAGATCCAACTAATGGACGTCAAGAGGCAGCTGGAGACGCAGGTGGCCTTACATCAGAAAACCAAAGAGCTGCTGAATGGGGCCGAGTTGGAGCTCAACACCCTGAGGATGCAGCAAGGCCGCCCCGAGGCACGCCACACCCTGGGCTCTCCACCCACACCCGTCTTCAGAGGTTAACATAACTACTTTTATTTTTCTACTTTAATTTTTATTAACATTTTCACTGGATACCAACATGTAAGGATATACCACAGACAGTGTTGCAGCCCCTCCTCACAGCATCCAGAACATAAAGTAAATGTATATTTAGACAGAAGAAAATTGTAAAAGGGAAACAAAACATCTCAGTTGCAAGTGTCTGGAATCTATAAGCATCTTTTGATGATTGTGTTGGATTTCCTTATGTCTCTTCTTGGATGTCATAAAGAATGAAGACCAGTTGTTTCCTCAACAATATTCAGTCATTGTATTGAGGGAGCAGTTAACTGGGACCAGCTCCTTGTTGGGGCTTTTGTTTGTAAGCAATTAATAGAATATTAAATAAGTACACATCTTCCTTCAAAATGTTTAGTTTTATATTTCCAGAATGAATTTTCTGAAAATCTTTTGTTACGGGGAACCCACAAATAGGTCTGTGACGATAACAGGTTTTGCTGGACAATAAATTGTCCCAGAACTTGTGATAAACGATAATGTTGTTATTTTGAGACCATTTTCAAGTAATATGGTAATAATAATGTCATAATAAAGCAAGAACACATTCTCAAACATAAATAAACTTTAAGTTGGTACTGGAAGACATTTGAAATATACAAAATAAATTAAAAAACAACAAATAAATAAATTATGAAGTCTCTGTAAACAAAATTGTCTTTCAAAGACTGAAGATCCGTTTTGGGAGAAAAGAGAAAAACGATAAATCAAGTAAATTAAAATTGAGTTTCTTTTCATTTTTAATGCGATTAATTGATTTATTGTGACAGGCTTACCCACAGATTCTTTAAATTGTAGCATTTACATTTCTCCAAAACAAGTCTAATTTCTGTATTATTTCCACAGAAATAATACAGAAGCAAATATGGAAAACCTGGTTTACTTTGTCTTTATCTAGTGAGATTTTTCCACCCAAACTCTCCCCACAGTTTGTTGTTCTGCTCTGACTTATGCAAACATGTTGCCATTCTTCTGATGTCATTTCCATTTTGGTTTCTTTTTCCCCGTTACTTTTTTTATATGCACGGTTGATGTTGGTGTATTTTCTTGGCATAAAGACTTTTACTAGAACTATGCAGGAGAACTGTATAGTTTATTGTTTAAAGCGTATTTAAACATAAACATGTTTTCACTGGATGTTATAAAGTCTGCTTAAATGAAGCAGTTAATTGGTTCTCTTTCAGATTATTTAAATGTGCGTGCAAAGAATGTAATAAAACACAATTACACCGTTTTGTTTTTAACGGTTGTCTGTATTGTTGTGGTTTGACCCAGTTTTAGGTTATTTGATGGTTTCAGCCACACTTTTTTTTTTTTTTTCTTAAAAGACTCGAGACTTGAAATGATTTTGTTTTTCCTGTAGGGAAAAATGCACGCTCCCCAAGCTGTTCTGTCTTGTTGCAGGCCTGCAGGGTTCAGATCAAGAGAGGGAGGAGCTCCAGGGCCGCCTGCAGCTGGCTGAAACCCGGGCAGAGGAACTGGCAGAGAGCCTGAGGGCCGCCACCTCCAGCATGGAGCAGTACAGAGCCATGGCTCAAAGCTTGGAGGAGTCCCTGGAGACAGAGAAGCAGGTCAGGACGCCGTGTAGACACCACCAGTTTACAGGACTCTCACATCATAAACTGCTTATATGTTTTACCATCCTCAGTGCTGTAAAGCGAGTTATAGAGAAATTCCTTTCGGTTTAATACATTTGACCACTTTATTTTTATGCCAAAACAGTGATGGAAAAACACTTAGCCATGAAAGCACGCACAAAGAGCCGCCTCACAATACTATAAATTGTTTAAAAACAAGATTTTATGAATGGCAGTAATATTTTGGAAACAAATTGTAGTGTCTAAACAGACCATATCAAATTAGGGCTGGCAACATTTCTGTTTGTCATTCACAGCAAAAACACAAAATTTCACAAAGTATTTCTGTTCTAGCTTCTATTGCAAATATCTTAGTATGCTGGAAAAAAGACAAAACTAACTTACAAGTAACTTTTCAGTGAGATTTTAAATCAATGATTCCTTCATATTAATGAAAAAGTGTGAGCTATGAGTGAAATTATCTGCCAGTGGAACAAGACTATTTTTTTTATTTTTTTATTTTTTACTTATAAGTGAAAGAATCTTTTTCATCAATATTAAGGATTTATTGACTTAAAACAAGTTCCTACATGTTCCTGAAAAGTTACTTGTAAGTTAGTTTTGTCTTTTTTTCAAGATGTTTTTCTAGAAACTTGACCAAAAATACTTGATAAGATTTTGATTTTGCAACATTCCTATAAATTACTCCTAATATACCAAAGAAGTATTAATTTAAATGGTCAAACAAAAGTTTGGCTCCTGATGTTGCTTGGAGAACAGAAGTCCTCCTCTTGGTTTTTATCTTCATTTCTTCTGACGGTTGTGTTGACTTCTTTCCCACTCCCCAGGTAACGGAGCAGGCTCGCCTGTCAGTGGAGGCTTCTTTGAAGGAAGCTCAGGAGCGACACCGGACGCTGGAAGAGAAACTCCAGGAAGCAGAGAAGGAAAAGCAGGACTTGGAGGAGAGCAAGAGAAAAGACCTGGCATCTCTAGAGGAGCAGGTCTGAAATCCACCATCATCAAACTATGGAAACGGCTGGAGATCATAAATTAGCATGATGGGCTTCTCCTTTTTCTCACACTTGTTGTGACATATCTACTGGTTTGTGTGTTAGATTAATGACCTGAAGAGAAGCCTGAGCGATGCGCAGACAGATCACCAGGCTGTGCTGCAGCAGCTGGAAGTAGTTGAAGCCCACAAGCAGCAGGCTCTGCAGGACCAACAGGAGCAGGTAAGCATAACCCAACAAACAGCAGTTTAGTTTGTTTTCAAGCATCTGTGAAGATATTGCAACATGCAGGTGCAAGGTAATAAATTAAAACATTTAAAAATTTGTTGTTTTTTTTATTCTAGCATTGATACTTGCATAGATTAATATACCTACGTATTTGTTTTGAATACATTATAAGGCAATAAAAAAAAGAAACCATGCTGATGACATAATGTGATGAAGAGCTACAATAGTCTTCATAACTGTGATTATAGTAGTGTACAGAAAAGGAGTGGAGCAAAATGAAATTCAACATTTTCTTCTTAAAAACAGCAGGAGGAGAAAGTTATTCATTTTGCTCTTTGCATCATTTAACCAGTTTTCCTTAAGAATAATGACGTTTATACTCCGAATATTTCTCCTAATCTATCAGTTTTTGTAATGTGCATAGTGGCTGTAGCATTTTTTCTACAATCCACACAAAAATTGAAGTGTGATAAAAACCACCGAA